GGGTCAGATCAGGCGCAATTCCGACACTGTGTCACTGATGTTGTCTCCTGCAGAGCCATGGATCAGTGAGGGGCATCACGTCTCATAGTGGGACTGGCCATGTGGTCCTCTCTGTGGACTGGCTGTTCTATTTGGGGTCATCGTCATCAAGGACTGAGGAATTTAATCATGCCAATTCAGTCTCTTTCCCGCCCCCCCGACCCCCAGTTTATTAACTGAAGAAAAAGGAGTGTCCTTTAAACTTTGTTTGAGATTACGAAACAAAAAAAAGGAGTCAAAGGTAAAAAGACACACACAAAAAGAAAAGACATGAGAAGGAGCCAGATCAGGACTGTAAAGGTGATGCCTATAGATTTCCCTCTGAATCGCTCCCCCATTGCCTTTGTTTGGGTGAAGTGAATGAGCAGGAGAATTGTAGCTGAGATGGACTGTAGTGAAACATCCCTGCTGACGTCTGATATTCTTAAAGCACTCTCATGATAAGGAGCTGTTATCATTCTTTGACCTTCTGCAATGTCAACGATGAAAATCCCTGGCTCACCCCCCAAAACAGTTGCCTTTTTCCTTGACCCAGGGTGCTTTTGTTTTACTTGGACCACTTCTACCTCTTGGGAGCCATTGCTTTGATTGTGCTTTGTCTTCAGGATCATAGAGTAAAGCCATGTTTTATCTCTGGTTACAATTCTTCCAAGAAATGTCTTAGGATCTTGATGCCATGTGTTTAAAATTTCTATTGAAAGTTCGCCTTTTCTCTGCAGCTGATCTGGGCACAACATTTTTGAACCCATAAGCAGACATTTTGCTCAACTCTCATTTTCCAACTAGAGTTGAGTAAATGGAACCAATTGAGAAGTCTATGTTGTAGGCTTTTATTTCTTCTTTAATCAGTGACCCTCTTCAGTTAGGGCGCAACCAAGATTCGTTCTTCCCTCGAAAATTTGTCTGAATGGTCTGCCACCGTGGGCTTCCTTTCAACACTGTCTCTTCCTTAAAATGAGCTGTCAGTTTGTAGACTGCTGATTTCTTTGGGACGATTGTCCCCATAAACATTTTGTAAGCCTCAATGATTTCACCATTCTTCTACGAAGCTTCACCTTACATTTGATGTTTGTTCCATGTTTCAATTCTTCCATGTTAGCAGAATTCATGTTGCTTAATAGGGGCTCTTTTCAAACGGAAGTTTTATCCTCCTTAGTGCCTCAAACTAGAATTGTTCAGACATGTTACCCAAAAAATGTCATTGTTCTTAAGTGTTGTCGAGTCAATTTTGACTCATAACAGCCTTTTGTAAAATAGAACACGAGGTTGCTTGGTCCTGAGCAATCTTCACAATTGTATTTTTGTTTGAGCCCATTGTTACAACTACTCTGTCAATCCATCTCCTTAGGGGCCTTCCTGCCTCTCACTCATCCTCCACCTTACCAAGCACGAAGTCTTTCTCAGGGACTGGTCTCTCCTTATACCATGTCCAAGGGATGTGAGAGGAAGTTTTGCCACCCTTGATTCTGAAGAACATTTGTGCTATACTTCCTCCAAGCCATACTTGGTTGTTCTGTCAATGTCTATGCTACTTTCAATATTAGTATGATTTTTTCCATTATATGTATTTTCCTTGAACTTTATTGAAGTCCCTTATAAACAGTTAGGAGCACATTATGAATACAAAATTTGTAAGTTCCAATCCTATGCATTTATTTATAAACAAAGGTAATCATTAAAATGATGAGACTATTATAATTAATACAGCAATTTGAGTAAGAATTTATGCTGATGATGGTTATCCCTTTATGTCATTCATGTTTTGTTTTGGCTGTATGATGTCTACAACATATCTCAAAACTTTATGAAATATTCAAATCAGTTATTAAAATTGCATGTACCTCCATGCCTACTAGAAATGTATTCAAGGTTCCAAAACTGCTGTTTATTTTGTTTTGCAAGTCTAAGTCATTAACATTTTATTGTTGTCATGTAAGTTGTAGTTCAAAGCACATTAACTTTGAGATCCTGCATTTCTACTCTGTGTTCATGCAGATTAAACATTAATAAGCAAATGGAATTGTTACTTTTAAGATATGTACCTAATACATTCTCTACCTACCTACTTGCAAACTATCCGTTAGTGAGCTCCAGCCGAACTGGGATTGAGGTCAGGGAGATACTTTACTCCTGAGGAAAATTGATAGGAGTCATCAAAAAGTTAGTAATCAAGATAAGGAATATTATACTGCGATCCTTTTTTAAAAAAATTAATGCCACAAATTCCCATGTCAAACATCACACCAAACATTGAATAAAGACCAGACCTGATCCTTCGCTGCCCGGTGGAAGGGTCCAACTCCCGTTCTGCGGTCCTCTGCCTCACCCTCTTTCATCCCCCTTCCCTGCATGTCTAGGACAAGCAGCAAATTGCCTCAATCTGTATTCAACCAACGGATATTGTTTGGCTTAACAGTGGTCTTGTTTGTTTCCGTCTCTAATATGTACAAATGAATAGACTACGTTGCAGGCGTCTGCACTATCACAGCACATTAAAGGGTCTGGTCCCTTGGATGGTGCCCAAGAGTAACTGGGTGAAACAGACCACTCTAGGCTGACCCAGAATCCACTGTTTATCCTTAACTGGGCCTGGTTCATTCACCTGCCTTACCTGCCGAGAGCCCACCGCTGAGTCATAAGGAATCTTATCCTGATCTAGTTAAAGGCCTTCCTACCTACAGACCATTTAGAACTATTTTTCAGAAAATTATTGTAAAGACTCCTTACCCCACAGTGTTTGGCCCCCACAGTGTTTGGCTGTGTGAGGTTATGGGTGCCAGTGTGGGCAGTGCAATCATATTTTGTCCTTGTCCCCAGAGGCCCTGTGAGCATCAGAATGTGCTAATGCTCTCATGAGAGACAGGCAGGTCGTTGACTTATCTAGACTGTGAACAGCCGCTGCTTTCCTCCCTGCAACAATGGCTGAGAGGAGGCAATATAAAAGACACTTGCCTGGTTTGGTTAGGGTGAGTAGAACATGTATGAATTGTTATCTTGGTAAATTTTCTCACCCCAGTAATCATCTCTGTAATTCTTTTTTTAAGATAATGGGGAAATTGTTGTTCGGACTAGTTCAGTCAGGAGCGTGGTGTTGTTTTGATGAATTCAGTCGAATTGATGTGGAAGTTCTCTCTGTCATTGCCTCACAGATCCTAACAATTAAGGAAGCAAAAGACAGCTATTCTGTCCGGTAAGTGTTATTCTGTTGATATATTACAAATGGAGGTCTGAGCTACAATTGCTGTTTAGTTCATTAGAGTCACATATTTTTTTAAGCGTTAGAATTGTTTCTTTTTATTATTTTTCCTTTCTTTTTTTGTAAGCACATAACAAAAGGAATGGCGATTATCTGTTTCCTTTGCTTGGCAAATTATATGAAAATATATATCATTCTAACCTTCATGCCAGGAAACCTGGTAGCCTGCTGGTTATACATTGAGCTACTCACCCCAAGGTCATTACTTTAAAACCGCCAGCTGCTCTTTCTCCTCCCACACAGAGTGACAGTCTCAGAAACCCCCAGGGGCAGTTCTCTGCCCTGCGCAATGCTGCGTCTGAAGCAAGGTGGCAGTGAGTTTGCTGTTGCTTTTGTTTTCTGGAAACTTCAAGTCACCGTGAAGATAACCCAACGCTGCGCCAAACTTGGCACACCAGGACGATGATGCAGATGCATTCTAATTACTTTTTTCCTCCTGATTTAAGTTCTCTTGATACCACTTTTCATGCAATACTATATTGCATTTGAAAAAGCTACAGTTCCTGCTCCTTAATTCTATAGTGCATCTTTTTTCAAAAAGAAAAATCATACTAGTCGTAGGCTTGATTATTTTCACTGGTGTACTTTTATTTAAAGGCCCTGCAGTAGCCATATTTTTGTTAGAATTTCTAAAAGCCAAGTTGTTTCCTCTTCAGACTGGAGTTTGGTACCTGGCTGTTGCCCACAGGGGACCTAGAAAGCGTTAAATCTGTGTGGTTTGTTAGTGTCCAGAGATAGCGCTCTCTCTCTCTCTCTCTCTCTCTCTCTCTCACACACACACACACACACACACACACACACACCAGCAGCAAGGAGTTAAGTGACAGTTTTTTTTAAATGATAGAGTCACCTCAGAAAGAAACGAATTGGAGCCCTCGACAGAGGTGGGAATGATCACCTTAAAGACATGTGAGATACACTTCACCAGAGGCGTGGAATGGGTCCCCATTCGTGTTGTTGGGGAAACACTTCTAGTTGTGTGATGGCACTTTCAGAGGGAAGGCGGTTGCTGCTCTGCAGATAGATGGTCAGGCTACTTAGTTATCAGTTCCATTCATTCTTGGGTCTCATACATGGTTTCTTTCGAATTCTCTGAGCTGATGTTCTGGGCCAGCGTGTCTCAGAATGTTTCAAAATTCTCTCTGAGTCGTCCCACTTCAGGCTTTTCACGAGGGCCTGGCTTCAAGGTCAAGTCAGTTCCCAGAGTCCCCTGTTCATCAGGCAGGGCAGAAGCCCCTGTTCTGTCCCTGTCAAGATGAACTCCGGACTGCACATGCTTGACTTGACAAGCGTGCATGGGGTTGCAGGTTTACCTTTCTATTAAAATATATTTGTCTAATGTAATGCCTAAGCGAATGGCAGAACTTTGGACCAGTTCTTCCCAGTTCAGTCATGGCCAACAAAGACAAGACTTGGATTTGCAAAATGTGGGTGATCACTGGAATGGGGACAAGTATAGGCTAATAGCCTGCTGGGAACGTAATGACCTCTCAGAAAACGAAGGCAGCGTGTGCACGTGGCATTGTAAGGAAATCTTTGGGCAAACACCATCAGCAACAGACTGCCCCCCTCAGAGTCCGTGGCTCACTACTCTGCTTGGAGGGTCTTGCTCTCCACAGCCCTGGCAGGAGGCCCACCTCCCACGCCAGGCTCCTCGAATGGCCGTGACGCTGCTACCCACTCCCCCATTTCAGGCCTGTGGCCCACACATTTTTCCACTCTGGTTACTGCTCTGCTTCCTAAATTAAAGTGACACTTAAATTTGTTACATCACTTCTGATTTCACTTTTGGGGGCCACGGGCCTTGACTGAACCAGTTCAAGCCAGTTTGAAGCCCAGCGATGATCATTCCCTCTGAGTTTATGCTCCTGGATTTTGTCCAAACGGTCACAGCTAGTGTTCCCAGCCCGCAGAGTCTGGGTATAAACACATTTTCCCAGCTCGTCCTCATGCCTTGACTTCTGTAAAGTGTTCTGAAGTTGTGTTCATGGAGTCCTTAGGCTTTTGCCCCAATTTTTTTCCTTGCCTGTTTTGACCACGCTCCTAGATATCAGTTGTCCCAGAAATCACTGGAAGATTTTAACCCCCCTGGTAGCTACCAAAAGAATTGGTGGCACAGTGGTTAAAGTACTGAGCTGCTACCTGAGTGGGAGGTGATTCCAAGACAGGACTGTGGTTCAAAGCAGAAAGATGTGTCACGGTGATTCGCTAGCGTTTTCTGCCTTAGAAACCCTCCGGGGCCGTTCTACATTGTCCTATGGGGTCTCTATGACAGGCTAGACTTGATGGCCGTGAGTCTGCTTTTGGTCTCTACCACTGGTATTAACTACAGGATACTTGTGTCCATGCCAAAGGCTCTCTCCTGCCCCCGCCCTCATCCCCTGCGTTATTTAATTGGCAGTGCTGGGGACTGTGCTTCATGAGGAAGCAGTACCCTGTACCCCACTGTGTCGTACAGACGAAGCTATTTTATGTCTCAAGGTTCTTTCTCTTCAGGCTCTTTTTCTCATGCAAATCTTCTTCTGATGGGGACCTCCCAGCCTTCGACACCACCAAACTCTTCAGATAGTAGGATCGAATATATCTGAATCCCAACAGGGTTGACACCTGTGCCTCCAGACGAACTGCTTTCTCCCTTCCTCTTCCCCTTGTTTTTGTTTGGTTCCTAGTGTGCTCTGTTTGTGTTTAAATATATCACAGGTTAGTTTTAACATCCCTCACGGAAGTGGTTCTCTTAGTGAAGTCTACTATAATGTATTACAGATTTGTGCTGGAAGGCAAGGAAATTCGTATCAATATGGCTTGTGCAATATTTGTCACCTTGACTCTTGGGTAAGTATCAGAGACACTGTGGTGGGTGTGGCCAAAGCACGACTTAAATCTTACCCACAGATGGAGTTCTCTGACACTGTATAGTTATCACTCACCTCCGAACCTTCTCTAGTCCTTCCACTACCTTCCCTCTGAAACAAATGCAGTTCTTATTCATATGGATAATCTCACATTACGTTTCTGACAAAGAGGTACTATTTTCACTTCATGAATAGCCAAAGAAAAGGCCTGATGCGTATCCCAAAGAGGAGTGAGGCAGGAAAACCGGTGAGAGTATCCGGAGGACTGAGGACAGTGGGATTACAGGGAGCAGAAGCCGGATGGACAGACTGTCCAGATGCTGAGCTAGTTCAAAGGAAATTGACCTGAGAGAAAATGTGGGAGGAACCGAAGGAAGAATGAAAAGCAGGAATCTCTGTGAGATGGAAGATGCCTTAGAAACCATGTTCTAAACTTCTTGTTTGTAGATGCAATTCACATAGAAACTTACAGAATTCCTTGGGGGCAAGTTATATTGTGTGGTTCATTGTTTGCAAAACTGAAAAGTGGTCTGTGTTGGTTGGGTTGGTTTTGCTTTGTCTTAATATGTGTTTTCTTCTTCCTCTTTTCCTTCCTCTGTAAAGCTATGAAGGTCAAGTAGAACTTCCAGATAACCTAAAATCTCTCTTCCGTCCAGTGGCAATGATTGTGCCCCATTATCGAATGATTAGTGAAATAATATTATTTTCACTTGGTTTCAAATCTGCAAAAATCCTCTCTGGAAAACTAGCCAACCTTTATGCATTATCTAGCGAACATCTCTCACAGCAGGTAAAGAACAGCTTTCCCCAAATATTTAAAAGTGATCATCTAAAATAAGGTTTTGTCTATTTATATCGAGTGTTGGTATAGGAATGACCTGGAAAAGTAGTGGGAATAGAATTTCTTATGTAAGGCAGTACTATTCCCAATATCAGCTAGACTACTGCCTGAAAGATTCAGAGATAGAGCGCACCTAGAGGCATGCAGAAGAAAGGTCTGGAGATCCAATTCCAAGAAAACTCAGATGCAACCGTAGCTGCAAGTTTGGAGTTGACTAGACAGCAATGTTTGTTGTTGTTGTTGTTATGTAAAAAAGTTTCAAGCCATACCCCTAAGAACTGGATAGAGTATATAACAATATCTATTATTTAAGTGTATAGACTATTTTCTCTACACAAGGAGGTTTAATTTATAGAGTAATCGTTCCCAAATTTTATCATACATCAGAATCAGAAATTCCTCCCACTTCTTCCTAGTCTAGTCTTAGCCAATGAAATAATATAGAAATGGACCCCCATTTGTAAAATGGAATGTTCTGGAACAACCAAAAAACGTTATGGGTCAATATCCTGCTAGAAATTTAATCTCCACCTTAGAGAACAATGGTAGCATGTACCTTGCATAGCAACCGAATTTCTGGGTTGGCAGACTCGCAGCCAACTTTGCCCGCTATGGGTCAATATCCTGCTAGAAATTTAATCTCCACCTTAGAGAACAATGGTAGCATGTACCTTGCATAGCAACCGAATTTCTGGGTTGGCAGACTCGCAGCCAACTTTGCCCGCTGAAGGATGACAGCTGGCTAGGCGGCTTTGAATGGGTATTGCTCGCACAACCTGGCAAATGCCCAGTCGTCTACATCAGGCTCTTAAAGAGCTCACCACAACTCCTCCGAGACGCTGACAGTCCAGGGCTTCCAGCTAAGGTGTTCTAGAAGGTACACATGAATTTATAAGTTCTGATTTCTCGATGTCAGCCAAGATGGAACGAGGCTGAGCAGTGGGTCTGTAGTGCTAGTGAGAAAAATTTGGAAGACTTCCTAAAAACAAATGGCTGGACCTCATCTCCAGCGTATCTAATTAGGTAGGTTTAGAATGAAGCTCCAGAATGTTCATGTCAAACGTGTTCCTGATTTGAGGAATGACGACCCTCCGATATGACCGTTTCATTTTCTCCAAAGTGTTCTTTTCATTAACAGTCTTTCCATTCCTCTATTTCCACTTCAGAGAAACGCAAATTCAGATGCAGAGAGCATTTAAGGCCTTTCTTAATATTTGACAAGCTTTCTTTGAAGACGGAGACATACAGGAGCACCTGCCTGGGAGGGAAGGGAAAGTGTTAGAAAGAGAATTGGGGACATTTTTCACTCCTTTCACTATTTGTCTTTGTAATACAAATACCTGGTCACTCATTGAACCATCTCTGAGGATAAGTTGAGCAGCATTACTACTGGGGTTCCAGTTCATACATGCATAGGTTTCTTCCAAAGAAAACATGTGTTTAAAATGCCTCTGTGATCAGTAGTTGACGGCAGACAAAATCTCCCAGTAATACATTTGTCTTAGTCTTATTGGGGTGCCTTCCCAAAAAGAAAAGCCAGTTTTAAAAAATGGCTTCCAAAGGGATCTACTGGGTCAGTTAAATTCAAAGCAAAGAGGTTAGCTCATAAGTTATGACGGCTGTTTTAGCGATTCCAAGGGGGTGATTTTGATAGAGTTTCTTAAAGGACACAGGGCACCCATGGGGGCTTATGATAGCAAAGAAAAAGAAAATGTCAAAGTTACACCAAGGGATTTTCCGCTATCACAACAATGCTCATTCTTCAAGGATAACAAAGGCTGTCCTTTGGGATGTTGCAGGGGAAACCCACAGCCCTGATCTTGCCCTTCAGCGTTCGTTTATTGCTCAAATTCATAGAATGTTTAGAAGGAACATGATCTGAGTCCCTCAGGGACACCAAAGCCAATCTTTGAATTGGTGTGAGTTAAAGACTGCGGAACGGAAACACCCCCTTCAAAAGTTACATAGAAGCTATACTGAGAAAAAGTAATTTCACATTTTGATATTTTTGCATCATAATGCAAATCTGTTTTACTTACCCTTGTATGCATTTATTACCAAATTGTTCTGCTTGTCCTTCAGAAACATCAATAATTCATGTCTTTCGATGTTTGATAGGATCACTATGACTTTGGCATGAATTCCCTGAAGACAGTGTTAATAATGGCTGGGAAGAAGAAAGAGAAGTTTCAATGGTCAGTGGAATTTTGAATTGCAAGTGTTAGTTTAACACTGAGATAGCACTTCACATAGCTTTAACTAAAGAAAGACAATAGCAAGTGTTGATAAGGATGTGAAAATACTGGAACCTTACTGCCCTACTGGTGATCATGTGAAATGATGCAGTCACAGTGGGAAAGATTGTGGTGGTTCTTAAAAATAATAATATCATAAAATAAGCAGAATCTCATGTTGACCCAGCCAATCCTCACACACATAGATGCCCAGGAGACTTGAAAGGAGAGACTCAAACAGGTACACTTGTGGGAAGATGTTCATGACAACATGACTTACAATAGTCAAAAGATGAAAACAATACAAATGTCCATCAACAGACAAAATGAATAAGTAAAATATAGTGTCACCTTCAAAGAGACCCTGATAGCATAGTGTGATTTCCATTGAGCTTCTAAGTGCAAAGTCAGCAGTTTGAACCCACCAGCTACTCATGGAAAAAAGCTGAAGCTATTCTCTCTCTCATAGAGATTTGTCTCGGAAGTCAAAGGGGCAGTTTTACTCTGAACTGTAAGTCACTGAGTCAGAATCAACTCGGCGGCAGTAGGCTTGGCTGGGTCCCATGCAGTGCAATATTGTTCAGCCAGAAAGAGAAATGAGGTTCTAATACATACTACAACATGGTTGAACCTTAAAGCAAGTTCTGGTGACATAGTTTGTTATGCATTGGGCTGCTAACCTCAAGGTCAACTGTTCAAATCTGCCAACACTCCGTGGGACCTTAAAATGTTATGATGAGGGAAAGAGTCCAGATATAAAAGAACATATATTGTGTGATTCCACATCCATGAAATATCTAGAATGGACAAATCATAGATGGAAAGTAGCTTGGAGGTTCCCAGGAGTTGAGTGCAAGTAAGTTATGAGAGGAATTGTACCCATTGTACTCATTGTGCAGTGCACTGAGTTAACTTGATAGGGGCTTTCTAGGCGTAGCTCTCTAGTTTATGGTGGACTATGTGTCTTAGCCTCAATGCCTGTGGTCCCTTTGTGTTGATGAGGCAGGATTAAGATTAGGATGAAATGCACCTGGAGTCACTGCTTTACTAGAAAGTGTGTGTTATTCAAGCCACTACACTTAGTTTTCTTAAGGCAGGGTCACCAGATTCATAACAGTAGCAAAATCACAGCTATGAAGTAGCAACAAACATAATTTTATGTTTGGCAGGGGGGTCACCAAAACACAAGGAACTGTATAAAGGGTCATGGCATTTGGAAGGTTGAGAACCACTGTCTTAATAGTCTTAATAGTCTTCATCCCATATATAGGAATGCTCTGGCTCATTTTTCCCTGATTGCTGGCTCTTTGAACTTGAGCCAGCAACCTATCATCTAATCTGATTCTCTAGATTCTTCAGCTTTGTGCATCTGACCTGCTGTTTAGGATTCATCATCCTCTGCAACCATATATTTCCTCCAGATGCATGACCAACACACCAATTTGGAAATTGCCAAATTCCACAATAAGCCATCTCATTGGTTGATTGTGAGTTCTGTGACAGGCTTCAGTGAAATAACGAATTCTAAAATGGGAGAGTGTGGAGGTGGGGAAGTGGTGGAGTTGGTGTCAGAGATAATAAAGTGTTTTGGATGGGACATCCCTGATCTCTAGACCCACCGATGGTGGGAGTCATGCCTTTGTGGGACTAATTCTGTGGCATGATGTGCGGCATGTTCCCGAATGAGTAGCCTGCAAGCCTAGTTCTTTGGTTGTCCTAGAGATTTTAAAACAATGTTATTTTTCTTCTGATATGAAACCGAATTCATTTCTGTTGTTTGCGATGAAAATCTCCAATTGACCCAATGCACACTCGGCATCAATCACTGGGGAACAGCACTACCCTTTTGTCCTAGACTCATCGGGCACGTCCCTGGGACTGCGCGGGGGCCGCTCTGTAGGGAGGGAAAACAGGAAACAGTACTTGAATGGTCACCCATAAAGAGAACATGGATTGTGTTTAATGCTGGCAAACCATACCTCGTAACTTGTTGTTTTCTTCCACCATTAAAGTGACACTGATGAGAGTCCTTCTGAAGCTGAGGAAACTCTAATAATGATACAGGTCATAAGAGAATCGTGTTTACCAAAATTCCATCCTAAAGATGTCCCACTTTTTGAAAAGATTTTAGTAAATATTTTTCCTGGAGCTACAGTTCCCACCATAAATCAGCCTGCCTTGAAGGTAATAAGACCTTTGAAAATAGTCACGGATGATTTTAATGTGTAATAGCAATTAAGAAAGTAGATGAAAATTTGCTCTAGGCTGAAGTATTTATCACCTGTTCCAGGACAGAAATTTCTTTTCTGACCTGATAAGTATTGATGGTGGTCTTTTCTTTATTGCACTTTATTTGTATTTTTATCTTTGTATTATTATTATTAGTTTCTTCTTGCCATTTTGTTTCTTACTATTTCTTTTGGGTTCTCAGTTAGTGACACACAGAAGGGGTGGATGCATAGAGACAATAACTGACGCACGGGTTTATTGGGGATGTGACGGAGGTATGGGGATTTGGGGAACAAATAATGAATGCCGGAGGGGGGAACACCAGAACTGATTGTGGTGATGTATATACAACTTTGTTTAAAAGCGAATTAGCCATGGAAGTGTGTGATATGTGGATAGTATATCAAGAAAACCACTGAAAATAAGAACTCAAACTTCACCATGGTTACCATGGGTGAAGGGACAAGAGTTGTCTTCAGGTGCATCGAGTTTATGTTCATGGTAGTAGAATAATTTGGAAAAGGATATCAGTGATAATTGAACAGCATGAGGAGTAAAATCAATGGCACTGAATTGTACAAGTAAATGTTATGGAATTGGAGAGTATTTTGTCATGTATGTTTTTGCCATAATTAGAAAAAAAAGAGTTACATGAATAACAATGAGCACAAGCAAGAAGAAAATGTTCTAGGATTGGACATGGTGACAATTATACAACTCTTCTTGATATGATTGAATTGTTGAATTGTATGACATGTGGATGAAGTGCTAACAAAAGTTTTAAAGTATAAAGTAGATGAGAATTAAAAATATTACAGTTTTTCTGAAATACTCTGTTTTATATTTTTAAATACTTGAAGAAATAGTTTCCTCTTTTTGTGGGGGGGAAAAGGGGGCTTTCAGCACAATAGAAAGAAAAATTAACTGTATATTTAGGCAAGAAGACTATGGAATATTTTGTTTCCCAATTTTCTCATCTTTCAAATGAGGATCTATATGGTTTACTTAACATCAAATTAGATCACAGTTATAAAAACATCTCAAATTAAAATATAAGCATTTGATCATTAAAATGATTTATCATGATTATATAGCCATTTATTGTCTGTATACGAGTGAGTTTCCGAAGTTTCATGGAACATGAGATTAAAGGTTTTGGGGTTGTTGTTTTTTTCCACAAGCCTTTTGAAGCCCCCTCATATCTAAAACCTGATACTGGAAGGATCTCAGCATCTCTTGCTTCAACTCGTACATAGCCATGTGTTACTCCTGGAGTTCCATATTATTCCTTTATGATCAGCAGAATTGTTGTCCTAAAACAAATGGTTGATCATATAAACAAAACAAGGATCAATTTTGTCTATAGTAGGGAAAAAATCCTAATTATTTATCTGTATGTAATAACTGTCACAATCTGCCTGGACCTGATACATCCGACCTTTCCAATCTATTCCTACCATCCTTTACTCCACCCTTTTCTTCTCTTCGTAGTCTTTCCACCTTCAACTGCTCCCTGTCTCCGACTCTTCTAGATCCTTGTGTTGAACATGGTTTCTGTTCCCTGGCACTCTAGCCTTCCTTTAAAAGTTGTGTGTGTGTGTGTGTGTGTGTGTGTGTGTGTTTCTGAAAATATAGGATATAGAGCTTCAAAAGTATCTGTTCTTTGAAGGCTTGGAAGAGCTTCCTATTAAACCATTTGAGCCAAGACTTGTACAACAGGGCGGTCATGGTTCTAGTCAATGAAAGTAATTCCATTTAGACTTTCCCTCTCTTTTAGGATCAATTTTGTTAAATTAGATAACATTCATAGTGAATTTAGGCTTTAAAATATATTAGCATACATTGAGCAAATCTCTACTTTATGGTGTTTTTAATGTCCTGTAATTTTATATTTTTCTTCCAATCATTTATTTCCATTTTATGCTGTCTTCATTGAATACATTGTTTTATAACTGACTGACTTTTTTCTCAAAGAACTAGCCTTTTTATTTATTTAATAAATTTTTTCCTATTTTGCATTTTTAAATATCTTTTTTTCATTCCTCTGGGTTTTGCCTCATTATTCTTTCTTCTAGCTTTCTCACTAAGATATCTAATTCACTTAGTTCTTTCTTTGCTTATTGATATACAGGTTTAAGGACTCCTTTTAGTCATTTGTCATAAATACAAATTTTTATAGTTTTCATAATCATTTACCAGAAATTCTATAATTTCAGTTGATACTTCTTTTACCTGAATATTGAAGTTTTTAAAAATATTTTAATTTACAGATCAAAAGACCTTCATCTTTTCTGTTAATTTCTGATCTTCCTGCATTATGATTAGAGAATGCTCTAGCTTTAATTTATACTTAATGATGTATTTCAGTTTTGCCTAGTGTGTTGTTAATATTTATAAATATTTCATATGCACATGAAAAGAAAGTATGCACTCTATTATCACCCACAAATACCGGTAATAGATAAAAGAGTTCCATCAGTTTCTCTCATTCTATCTTATAATTATATTGCTTCGGTCTCCAAACAATAAGCCTTTCTTAAATTAGTTCAGTAGATTTACCTTGAGCTGAAAGAAGAGGCTGACTATTATGTCCTATTAGTACATATATGTCTATTCTTTTTCTGTGTAAAAGGTATTATGTTAGATGGTACATACAGATCAATAATAAATCATCATTATGGATGGTGCCCTTGAGCATACACCTCCCTTGTTTTTCTTGCCTGAGGTCAGGATGTGGATCCACTAGCTGCTTAGCAGAAGAGAGACAGGCTTTCTGTTCCCTTCAAGAGTTACAGCTTTGGAAACCCGCTGAGGCAGATGTAGATTAAGTTGATGGCAATGAGAATGGTTTTTGCTGGAATTATACTCTTTCTTTTTTCATCAAGACTGTGACCCCATTCGCTATGTGTTTGCTGGTCTGGTACCTGGATGAAGCAAACAGTTAAGAGCTGTACTGCTAACTGAAAGGTTAGCTGCTTAAATCAGAGGTGCCTCCGAAGACAAGCCAGGCAATCTGCTTCTAAAAGGTCCGTGGAGCAGGCTACGGGCACACGAGGTCCTTGCCAGTCAGCTTTAACATGAAGCAACTAAAAGCAATACCAGCAACCAAAATTAGGGCTATAACTGATAAATCTCTTTTTTAACTTTGTAAATTAAAAATGATGTCTTACAACTCTCTAACAGAAAAAGCAATCTAAGCGTTTATTCTGTCTCCTGGTTTCTTACCTTAATTTTCATTTGCTATATCATTTTATACTTAGAGTTCAGGCTTATAATGGCATCCTTTTGAAAATTGTATTCCCAGTTGATTATTCTAGGTGTAGTGAAGTGTCATTCATTTGCTAAATGTATCTTGAAATCTGGCAACTTGCTAAATTCTATTATTCTGGCATTCATTATCGTGGTTTTTCTTGGTATATCATTATATTATAAGCGAACAATGGCAGTCATATCCAATATCTGCATTTTATTTCTTTTGCTTTATTTGTTTTATTATGTTACTTTTTGAGTGTTAAACCATCCTAACATTCCTGGAATATTTCATGCCTTTTTACCATCTGATTTTTAATATGCTATTGGATTAAGTTAGTTAATATTTTATTTAGAATTTTCACATCTTCTTGAATAAATTAAATGCCCAGATCTGGTTTTGTAAGCAAGATTTAACTGGTTCCTCAAAATGAGCTGGGTCACAGTTGCTCCTCCTCTCTTTTCTAGATAATCCTATATTAGATTCAAAACCACCAGCCACTCCACTGAACACAGATGAGGCTTTATGCTCCTGTAAAGATTGAGAGCCGTGAGAACCCACTAGGGCAGTTCTACTCTGTGCTGTAGGGTCGCTAAGAATATATGTGTCAAATATAACCACATATGACACAAAGATCATAATTTAACGTTATGGTAATGTTAATAGTAGTCTTTTAGTTAGTGCTGTATTTTTGTGGCTTGCATTTTATACACAGCACATCCAAAGAGGCATTTGTCTTATTAAAGAAATATTAGGTAGGCATGCTACTTGCACTGTTCATTTATTTGATATATGAGGATCTGAACTGCAAAGAACGTTTAATTTTGACAACTGTAACTGCTCAAAGCACAAACTTCAAGTAAAACAATCTTATGAACTGCATTTAAAGGGTGCAGTGTAGCAACAATGAAACATACAACTTTCCTCTAGTTCCTAAATGCTTCCTCTCCCCACCCCCACCCCCACTATCATAATCCCAATTCTACCTTACAAATCTGGCTAGACCAGAGGATGTAGACTGGTACTGATAGGAACTGGAAACACAGGGAATCCAGGGTGGATGACCCCTTCAGGACCAGTGGTGAGAGTGGGGATACCTGGAGGGTGGAGAAAGGGTGGGGTAGAAAGGGGGAACCAATTACAAGGATCTACATATAACCTCCTCCCTGGGGGATGGACAACATGGGTGAAGGGAGACATTGCACAGTGTAAGATATGACAAAATAATCATTTATAAATTATCAAGGGTTCATGAGGGAGGGGAGAGCGAGGAGGGAGGGGGGAAAATGAGGAGCTGATGCCAGAGGCTTAAGTGAACAGCACATGTTTTGAGAATGATGAGGGCAATGAATATCCAAATGTGCTTTGCACAATTGATGTGTGTGTGGATTGTAATGAGAGTTGTATGAGCCCCCAATACAATGATTTAAAAACAAAAAACTTGATTTGGATATTATACGTCCTTTTCAATTCTGCATGAATTTATAGGATCAGCTCATCAATTTCCATAGGAAAAGTCCATGAGAAGTTTGATTGAGATTTTAGTGAATCTATAGAGCAATCTATAGAGAATTGGCATATTAATAATACTGAGCCTTCTGGTTAATAAACATGTTATCATCCTTAAATAAATAAATAGATAGATAGAAGAACATTGTTTTCAACTAATTGCCTGTCACCTATTGGTCTTACTAAAGACCAACCTACCACCCACCAGTGGGTTGCAATTCCTAATGACTCTACAGAGCAGAGCAGCGTGCACTGCTCCCGAGGGTTTCCGAGACTGTGAAAGCCTTCCTCCAGGTGCAGGCAGCATCATCTTTCCCCGCAGCGCAGCCAGTACATAATCTACTCCGCCTCCCAGGCTCCTTTCTCCTGCATTAGGAGTTGTTTTTGTCTTCTCAAGCACAAGCCTGTTGAATTTTGGGGTGGCTCCTTCAATGGGTAATTGTTGTTCAGTCCCATTTCATGGCTGAAAAGAATGAGAAACAGGTTGGTGAGAAAGAAAAAAATTTTTTTCTACAGTTTTTAAAAAACCAAAAAACCCACTGTTTCAAGTCAATTCTGACTCATCGCAACGCTGTATAAAGTTTCTGAAACAATAAATCTGTAAGGAAATGAGCAGTTTCATCTTTCTTTCCTAAGTGGTTGGTGGATTTGAACCAATGACTTTGTGTTTACCCAAAAGTGCCACCAGGTCTCCCTAAAATGCTCAGTCTTATCTAGTCCATTTCAACTCCTAGGACCCCAATAGTACAAAGGAGAACTGCCTCTGTACTATAGGTTATCTGAGACTGTAATTATTTACTGTAGCAGTAGGCTCATCTTTCTTCTGCTGCGTAGCTGCTATGTTCCAAATGCTGGACTTTGGACAAGCAGCTCTGTTCATAGCCCACTCTACCAGCAGAGCGACTTAGTTACCGATTATGTCCACAATGAAACACGCCCCCTTTGAAAGAAGCACAGCTGCCCTTATGCTTCCCATATTAAATACAAAAAAGTATCTTTCTAAGCTGCAGTCACTCCTAGAGATGCGTTAATGTATAATCATATATCTTCAACGTCATCATTCTTTACTTGCTTTCTTATGACATTGAAACATTATAATATAATTACAGATTTGCAAACCTATTTTAACAATGATTTAAATGACCAAAAAAGTATATATCTTTTAGGTCTTCTTTGAGTTAGGGTAATTAGATGGCTATACTATGGTAACGACTAGCTCATACATTAAGTTTACAGCATGGATTGTCCATCTGGAGAAGCAGTGTACAAATGGATTTCAAGGGGCCTTGTGAACATGAACATTTGTGTGAATTTTATTTTTCTGGGGAGAGTAATAATCCTTTTCACTTTTCTCAGAAAACTTAGTAAACTGAAAAATTATGAACTACTATTTTAAAATACAATGACTGAAAAGAAAATTTAGGAGGCAAATAATGCATTTTATTCTTTCCTTTTAGAAAGCCGTACATTTTGCAACCACACAATTGGGCTTACAACACTGGCCATCTCAGGAAGAAAAAATCATACAATTTCATAATCAACTTCAGGTAAGTGTAGAATGGCGTATAACAAGACTGTGCCTTAAGTTTTAGTAGATACAAACAAGAAGGGAAATAATTAAAGAGCTGTGAAGATGTTCCTCCAAGTCGTTGTGTTAATCTGGGTTCTCTAGAGAAGCAGCACCAGTGATTTTTCTATCTGTCTGTCTGTCTGTCTGTCTCTCTATCTATCTCTATCTATCTATCTATCTATCTATCTATCTATCTATCTATCTATCTATCTATCTATCTATCTACCTACCTATCTATATATCTACCTATCTAGCTATCTATCTACCAACCTACTTACCTACCTACCTATCTGAAAGACATGATTTTCTAGTCCTATAGTGTTTCAGTCTTGGAAGCCCACAGGGACAGTTCTACCCTGCCTGCCTATAGGGTCACTACAGGTGGAATCAATTCAATGGCAATTAATTTTGTTTGTATTTTTTATCTGTAGATAAATATAGAAAGAGAGAGGAAGGAAAGAAAGATATTTATAGCAGGAAGGCGACTTATATTGCAGCATTTAAGTCTCCTCTGGTTTAAGTCCTTGAGTCAGCTGTTAAACCAAGAGGCTTTTCCTGACACATGTAGCTTCCGGGGCTGAGAAGCCAGGAAGCAGTCCAATGAAGCAGAAGCAGCAGGAAGCCCACAGGCTGGTGGGGGCAGAAGTGGATAAATCCCAGGTCAGCAGGTCATGGTCATGGCTGTAAAGCAGAGTGAACTCAGTGTTGGCAGGCAAAATGGCAAGTTACTAATAGCTCCCAAGGTCAGCAGGTTACATGGCGGGCTATTGGTTCAAGTCCAAAGAACTAGAAGTCAAGGTGCCAGATGCAGGGTCCACACCAGCCAGGAGAGACAAGCTTCCCACAGTCTGCTTAAATGAGAGAAGGCCATGCCCCAGGTGTGCCTTTGAATGCAGGAAGGATACTGCATTCCTCCCTAATCCTCTTACCACTGCTTTGCCTCTCACAGCAGATTCCACCACTATGTTATGTTAGATCACATCATGGGGAGTCCTCAACCGGCCCAACCAAGTTGACATAAAAGCTAATTATCACACAAAGGCACTAATTATTTTCTAGGTGTTATTATTTGACCCCTCATATTAACTCTCAACAAATCAACCTTTTTCATCTTTATCTTTTTAATACATACTTGTAAAAACTCTATGGTGTAAAACATAGAATACAATAGTTACATCTTTTTAAATTTTCTATTGTGAAATTTCTTAATATGGCTCTTCTGTCCATGTCTCTGTAGCTTTCCCCAAGGGATGGGGTGGGACTATGCAAGTAGCGGATCTGAAACATTAATAGAAGGGATTGGCCAATTTTAGTTGTGATTCCCCTGTGCATAAGAGAGCCCTGTCAGAAGCAAGAACAGAGGGAATTCCTGAGACCACCAAGGAAAAAGAGCCACTAGTGGAACATGTTCTCAATCGCTCCCTGCCTGAGGTGACAGAAGCAGTAAAGACCAAGCCATATAAGCATCAGAGGCTGAGGCAAGGAGACCATGAGACCAAGCAGAGAATCAGCACTGAGATTATGAGACAGTAAGGGAGAGGAGCAGACAGGCTTCTTGGACCATGGAAATCAGAGGCTGAGGAACCACCTGGCTGAGAGAGAGAGAGACTTGGCTGCAGACTGAGCCATGGCTGGCACTGATGTGGACCAAAGTATCCTTACTGTTGATCTTAAGCCAGGTCGACTAGTGAAACAAATCCAGTGAAGTGTATACCAGGAAAACATTCCAACCCAGTACCACTCAAGTCCTTAAGTCCGATACTAGTCCACAAGTCCCTTTTCAGACTCACACAGCCACCTGCAATGATATAGAATGCAGGAAGCTCACAGGTTGGTGGGTGAAATGTCTTGTGGATCCAATGGTGGTGGAAGCATCACAAGGCTGGCGCAGGTCTCAGTGTGGTTCCTCAACTGGAAAGTGAAGGCAGAGAGAGTGGGTGGGGGAGTGGGGAGTTCCCAGGACCCTCATTGTGAGAAGGCCATGCTCACAAGGAGGCACCATCAGGTTGTGACCTGATTGGCAGGCTAGACTCTACCCCTATACTTTATTTATCAAGTTGACATGAAATTATGTAACTAGCACACTGTTGTATGATCCTGACTTGCGATTCTAACCTTTTAACTTCCCAGCCAAACCTTCATAATGGTCAATGTTGTCTGTGAGTTCTGTGTGGCTTTTGCAACAGATTGTCAAACCCAGCAGAAAATTAGATTGTTGGGAGAGAAACGGCTATCATCAGAATTGGTCAGGAAAGATGAAGGGAGTGGAGGTATATGCCAGACTTCTGCTTTGTGGCAATAGGACTTGGACTTGGTGGTGGATTCTTCTTCTCCCTTATGAAGCCATTATGTGGCTTCCCATTGTTTTTGAACCCGTTCTCCATGAATGAACTATCTGTGAAAACATCAAAATGCATATTTCCCTGATTGCCAGTAAATTGTTTATCCTTTCTTCAGTTTATTAGCCATTCTAATTTTCTTGAATTGTCTCACTATACTGGAGTACACTGATTTTTCAATTAGTTTGTTTACTCTTTCTTGTTAAATGTGTTGATTTTTCACCGTGAATTTTGATATCACAATTATTACATGCATTGCTAATAAATTATGTCTCAACTCTCTTGAAATGTTCAAGACATGTGAAGAAGACATTTTTAAAGCTATAAAATCTACCAATTCTTAAGGTTTGTGTTTTTATGTCCTATTTTTAAAGATACTCTACCTATATTTATAAAGATATTTTCTATTATCTTTTTTGTAAAATTTTTAGATAATTGCCTTTTTCATCTGGAGTTGTCTGTAATGTATTGTTCTTTAGCCAATCAGGTAGGGTTCCCCATATGAATTCCCCAAATGAATAACCAATTTTCTCAAGTTTCTTCTCACGCCCCCTTTTTATTGCTTCTATCATCTATCAAGTTCCTTAGCTCTTTACTTTGTTCTTTTGGTGTATCTCTCTCTGCATATGTCTGTACCATACGGTCTTCATTACTATAGATTTATATTGGGACTTGCTATTTGGTGGTACCAGTCTCTTCCTATTGGTATTTTCAAAACATTCTGTTCTTCTTTATCCTTTCTCTCTCAGAGAATTAGTAAAATCAACTTGTTGATTTACACACACACAAACTGTTGGAATTCTTTTTTTTGTTTGTTTGTTTTTTTTGTTTTGTTTTGTTTTGTTTTTGATGCTTTAAAAAAAATCATTTTATTGGGGGCGCAGACAACTCATATCACAATCCATACATATATCAATTGTACAAAGCACATTTATACAATTGTTATTCTCATCATTCTCAAAACATTTGTTCTCCACGTAAGCCCTTGGTATCAGCTCCTTCCCCCCCTCCCCACTCCACCTCCCCTATGAACCCTTGATAATTTATAAATTATTATTTTGTCATATCTCACACTGTTCAGCATCTTCTTTAACTCACTTTTCTGTTATCTGTCCCCCAGGGAGGAGGTTATATGTGGATCCTTGTAATCAGTTCCCCCTTTCCACCCCATCCTCCCGGTATCGCCACTCTCACCACTGGTCCTGAAGTCCCTGTTTCTAGTTCCTATGTGTACTAGAGTACATTCTCTGGTTTAGCCAGATTTGTAAGGTTGAATTGGGATCATGATGGTGGGGAGGAAGCATTTAGGAACTGGAGGAAAGTTGTATGTTTCATTGTTGCTACACTGCACCCTGACTAGCTCATCTCCTCCTCGTGACCCTTCCATAAGATGTCCAGTTGCCTACAGATGGGCTTTGGGTCCTCACTCCACACTCCCCCTCATTCACGATTTTTTGTTCTTTGATGCCTGATACCTCATCCCTTAAGACACCTTGTGACTGCACGGGCTGGTGTGCTTCTTCCATGTGGGCTTTGTTGCTTCTGAGCTAGATGGCTGCTTATTTACCTTCAAGCCTTTAAGACCCCAGACGCTATACCTTTTGATAGCCGGGCACCATCAGCTTTCTTCACCACATTTGCTTATGCACCCATTTGTCTTCAGTGATCGTATCGGGGAGCTGAGCATACAACAATATGATTTTTTTGTTCTTTGATGCCTGATAACGATTCGTTTGGCACCTCGTGCTCACACAGGCTGGTGTGCTTCTTCCATGTGGGCTTTGTTGCTTCTGAGCTAGATGGCCGCTTGTTTACCTTTAAGTCTTTTAGACCCCAGACGCTATATCTTTCGATACCCAGGCTCCATCAGCTTTCTTCACCACATTTGCTTATGCACCCGCTTTGTCTTCAGCGGCTGTGTTGGGAAGGTGAGCATCATAGAATGCCAATTTAATAGAACAAAGTATTCTTGCATTGAGGGAGTACTTGAGTGGAGGCCCAGTGCCCATCTGCTTCCTTAATAGTAAACCTATAAATATATGCACATAAGTCTATTTCCCCAACCTCATATATAAATACATTTACATATGTACATGCCTTTATTTAGAAACTCTATAAATGCCCTTTGCCTCCTAGCTCTTTCCGGCACATAGGTAATTTTAAAAGAAAACAATAATAAAATCTTATCTGTGCCTAACAGGATAAAACTAAATTGCATACAACTCAAAATGTGCCAGGCCCATTTCAGCATTCTCTAAGCAAACTAAACAAAAATAGTCTCTACTTTACAATTGCAGTTATGTGAACACTTATACCATAATCCTATGAACATATTCCCCCAACCACGAAAATTTGTAAGCCAGCCACTTCACACCTCTGTCCCCCCAATTTTGGGTATCCAATATTTATATTGCCCACTTATATCAACCCAGTGCTCTGAGGAGACGAGCACATTCTTTGATGTGAAGAATCTTCATTCCAGTTGGAACCTGTGAGTCAGCATCCATAAGCAAAGTCAAATCAGGACAGGCAGTCCATAAAGTCAGCAGCAATATGCACCAATTCACAGGCTCAAAAGTCTCATCTCCATGTGGTTGGGGTCTGGTCAACTCAATGTGGGATGCCGCCTCACTTAGCC